AATTAGGAATTTGTTAATGTTTTCTTGTGTTCTATGCATCCACAACATTGCACTTACACTTTTCGGTATGCAACAATCCTTTTATTTATTTATCTTTATATCGTATATTTCACCTTTTTAATACTCTTTTATTATGATTAAATGAAATATATTTATGTTTATGGTTTTTATGTTGGAATTTAAGATATTGTGGGATGTGTTCTCTATTGTAGGTTAGAAAGAAAAAAAATTTGAATTACACTTGACATTTGTGGAATAAGTTTTTAGAGATTTGCATTGTTGATTGCCATGATTTCTTGATATATAATGGGGTATTAGCCTTTGTTGTTGCCTTATTAATATGATAGACTCGGTTGTGTTGCTTGTTGAATTTGGCCTCCCAATTTTGAAGTTACATTTTTAGGAATGTCATGAATGGATTCTCTCTTGGGTCTGGCTATACTTAATTCACCAAGGAGGACAAAAAATGGGAAATTTATATGTAAAATATCTTTTCAGCTAGATAGGGCAATGTCATGGTGATTAGGTATAACAAACCAATAGGAACACATTAAATCAAATGAAATCTGTTTGTGAACTCCATTATTATTATTATTCAAAGATATGGGAACCCACATGATATATGCAAATCTAGATTTTACTAGTACATAATGATATGCTCTCTCTCACATTATTAGTTTGTTGTGAGGTCTTTATTTAAACATAAGGTAGTAAGGATATCCAAGGCACCTCACATTTGTTTGGTTTTAGGTAATAAACTTGTAAGGTTGTCCTTTATGCTAGTTTCTTCTTATAAGTTATAATTGCTAGGTCTATATCCTATATGAATTGATTAGTTTGTGTATAGTATATCAGTTTTAAGTTTTGTTTCTGCCAAACTTGAATTGGGTTTAGAATTAGGGTTTTTAAATTTCGTTTTAAATTTAAGTTGAAATTATTAGCATGTGTACGGTAAGTTAAATCTTTGTGCACGAAACAAATTAATTTCCAATTTTGTAGATGTCACACCTCATTAGAACCTAGAGGGCGATGATTTCTACACCTAGTCCGACGACTACACCTACTCTTGCCGCCACTGTTCCGGCAGAGATGGACCATAGGTTGGTCAATCCAATTGACCCAATTGGTCCTCCAGTCCCACATGTGTAGGCATTGTCAACTTCTTCGGTGGCGTTGCCTGTTAGCCCCAGACGTACTCCCCGGCGCCTCCATACTACGGACCAAATGTCGCCATCGAGATCCACAACTGATACCTCGGGTACATGATTAGGTATACAATGCTAATTCACTCCCTCATTACCATGTTAACTAATTTTAGGTTCAATTTGTTAAGTTATGTCATGTAAGGATTAAAAAGTTTCCATTGTTTTCTCTTTTTTTGTTCACACTTTCTTTGCTTTCAGAAATGGGTTTTGTCATGAAATCGAAATTGTGTGTATTCCGTAATTCATTTATGTTAATTTTTATGTTTTTGCAATTTTTTTTGTTAATTTATGTGTCATTTCTTAGTTACTGAAATGGATTTCTCATGGAATTGAAACGGTAGTGCTGTGGAAAAGATTCAATGCTAAGGAAATGGCGAAATGAAAACCTTGGTAATTATCATGAAGCTAAGTTTTGAGAGTCGTAGAAGTTTTGGTTGTGATTGTTAGAGTCTTAAAAATGCCAATGTGGATGAGGTTATATGGAATTGTTTGATACGTCAGCTTAGAATTCTTTGCCAAGCCCGTTGCCAGCAATGTCAAGAGCCTGTGTATACAAGCTCGAAAATTGGCCGTATTGGATGGCAGTTGTCGCCATTTTTAGAAGTTTTTTGTGGTATTTGAAAACACTCGAATTGGAAATATGTTCTAATTAGGAGAAAGGAAATAGTGGCCTCAAACAGAGAAGTAGCTGTGATGCTTAATAAGTAACTTTCAGGAGAAATAGAGGAAGAAAATGTATGCGAATGTTAACTGAGTTTTGTTATTTTAGGTTCAATTTGTTAAGTCATGTCATGTAAGAATTAAAAAGTTGTCATCGTTCTAAACCTTTTATTAAACTGTTGTGATCATTGTGTTGGATACGTATATTGTTTATGTTATTTTTAGGGTTTTGGGAAATATTTTAATTATAGGGGAAGTTATGCTGAAATTTTAGTAGGATTTGTTATTAGTTTTGGGTTGATGATTTTTTTTTTCATCTCTTTGCAGCGAAGAAAAACACCGGGGACCTTGTCGGCAATTGAAGACAGCGAAGGTCACCCGAGTGATCAACGGTTGTATCCCAATCGGATACGATGAGCGACATCGAGCAGCACCAAATGCGGAGCAGCATAGTGCATTGGCCCACGACATTGGGCGTGTTGTACGGACCTTTTACCCTATGCGGTGGAAGTCTTGGAAGGCGATGTCGGAGGAGACGAAGAACACAGTGCACAACCAATTGTTCGTAAGTAGCGTCGCCTTTTCATGTAAAATTTATATATTTATATTTATTACTATTTTTTATTGCTAATACTTTCACAATATTTGTTACATTGCAGACAAACTACAATTTAAAGGACATGGACGAGGACATGTTTGTGTACCTCAATCAGCTATTCTCCGAACACTACAAGCAGTGGAAGAGTGACTTGCACCAATGTTTCCAATAGTTTGATGATCCACAGGTCGCTCTCGAGAAGGGTTGTTTGAAGGAGTTGGAGGATCGACAAGATAGTTAGGTTTGGCTTTGCGGTCATTTTTAGGAGCCAGGCTATGTGGTGCATTTTTATTACAACTTCTTTCATTTTTTTTTACTAATGTTTATTATTATTTTTTAAAATTTTCTTCAAGTATTACTATCACATCCCAACCCGGGGTCCATCACATCCCGGGCCCGCTCCACTGCCATAGCACGATATTGTCTGCTTTGGGCCCTGATCACACCCTCACGGTTTTGTTTCTGGAAACTCACACGAGAACTTCCCAATAGGTCACCCATCATGGGAGTGCTCTCGTGCGCTACTCGCTTAACTTCGGAGTTCCTACGGAACCCGAAGCCAGTGAGCTCCCAAAAGGCCTCGTGCTAGGTAAGGATAAGAATATACATATAAGGATCACTTCCCTGGGTGATGTGGGATCTTACAATCCACCCCTTTTAGGGGCCCGATGTCCTCGTCGGCACACCACAGCCAGGATTAGGCTCTAATACCAAATTGTCACATCCCAACCCGGGGCCTACCACATCGCGGGCCCGTTCCACCGCCGTAGCACGATATTGTTCGCTTTGGGCCCCGATCACGCCCTAACAGTTTTGTTTCTGGAAACTCACACGAGAACTTCCCAGTGGGTCACCCATCATAGGAGTGCTCTCGTGCGCTACTCGCTTAACTTCGGAGTTCCTACGGAATCCGAAACCAGTGAGCTCCCAAAAAGCCTCGTACTAGGTAGGGATGAGAATATACATATAAGGATCACTCCCCTGGGTGATGTGGGATCTTACAATTACAACTAATACGTTTATTTTTTGTATAATAGAAGAAGGCGAATGTGAACAAGATCAATCGGGAGAAAATGACTCTTCTCCACCATTCGAGTTCGAGGCCTTTCTCCTATAAGATGGAGGCACGACAGAAGGTATATATTACAACTTTCATTTCCAATTTTAAAATGTCGCTAATAATTTCTTTTTCTTACTAACATTTTCCTTATCTTTTTCAATTTTAGGAGGGTTCAAAATTTACGGAGATCGACGTCTTTGCTGACGTGTATGTTCGGCCTAGGGATGAGTTGACCAAGTCCCTTCATGTAAGTAATTTCTTATGCATTCAACATTTATACTATTTATTTCAAATTGTTTTCTATTAATAATCCATGTTTTTTTTCACAAGCGACTATGGTGGAAAAGAGTCAGTCGGTGCTTCAGGAGTCCGCCTCCCAGCTTCCCTCGGGCACGTCGATCGAGTATCCCCTGAGGATGCAGGGTTTCACATCGTGACAGAGACATTGGACCAAACTCTCGGTCGGAGGCCAAGGACTTATTGTCGGGGGATGGGAAATGTCAGGCGGTGGGAAAGTAGAGCCTTGTCATCCTCGCAGTCAAAGGGCTAGGTTACAGCTTTGACGCAAGAAGTCACTGGCCTAAAGAGTGAGCTGGCATCGTACAAGTCTCAAATGTCGATACTTGTACAAGCCCTCAGTTCCTCTGGAATACATCTCCTCTGTTTTTCTGCACCATCGCCCTCACAGCCCTTCCACATCGAGCAAGCATAGCAATCAAGCTCGTCCACCTCTGACCCCGTCCCCAACCAGCAACAAGATTACCAAGCACCTTCGAACGACATGCCTATAGATTTTTCCGTTTTTGTTTCATAGTTTTGTTCTTGCTTTCTTTTAGAACTTTATATTTGTTCGTACATTTTTATTTATATTATAAATAAAAATTATTTTTTTATTCATTAATTTGCTTTTTTTTTGTCATTAGTATGAAATCTTTTTTTTTAATTTTCCTTTTATTCTATTTATTTTTTAATAAAAATTACACTTGCGCGACGCCGACCAGTCGTAGTGCAAAATTAAGCGCGCCTTACTACTTCGTCACGCATTACCATGCGCCTCTTACATTTTTTGTCGCACAAACTTTTCGAGACGAACTAGTCACAAAGCGCTCTTGTACCCTTTTATATCGTACGGTGAAAACCTTCATCCGTATAAATTTAGCGTGACGAGTAGTCAAGCATCGTGCAATTTTTTTTATGCACGACGAATTTGAAATTGTTCGTTGCGCAATGTCTTTTTTAACGATCTTTGCGCTACAAAATATGAGCGATGATTTTCTGGTCGCCATAGTTTTTGTGCAACGTAATAATGATTTGCACGACAAAATCTCCCTCATCATGCAAACTGTTTAATTTAGTAGTGCGTAAAATGAGAATAAAACCATCGAAACCAAATTGATAGGTTTTGACAAAACATAAAAGAATCTAGGCTTCAAGGAACCAACCCCTACTCTAAAAATGGAAGGGGTAGGTATACAAGATGGATCAGATATGTTTAGTTTAGTGTTTCTGTATAATACAGAAGCATAAGTCGTCAAGTTATTTCAACTTGCATAATTTGGAGAAACGATCATCATTTCCATCTTTCCTTCTTAGAAGAATTGATCGTTAACAATTTGTAGGTAAAGACTTTCTTCTATTGGCTTGGTCCTAATACATGGCTAATTACTGTGTTGATCACTCAAGGGTTTATGATGGATTTCTAAAAGTATAAACAAAGATGTTCCTACCGAAGATACACTTGTTCCATATGCTTTAACTAAACGAAAGAGAACTTTAGAAATAGGGGAATTGTTAAATGGAGCCAATAGGCAATAAAAATGATACATGGATAGATTTAACAATTTCTCTATTATGAAATGTAGGGTATATCTATAATGGGAACACCTTGACTAATACTTTTAGATATTGAAGTAAACCCTTGAGTGATTAGGGAAGGGATTAGTCATGTATTGTAGATTAAGTTAAAAGAAGATAGTTAATATCTATATTGGTAGCAGACAATTCTCCTGAGAAAAAATGTTAGTAAGGATTGAATGTAAAACTGAAATATTAAATAAAAAAAAAAGGAATAAAGTTTAAATTGTTGATACATACCATTGAAGTCTTCATTTGTAATTTGGAATACAGGACAGGGAAAGTTGAATTGAAAACGTTAAGCGGATGAAAGGATTTGTACCTCAATTAAATTTTGAGATTAATTTTTTTTTTGTGGAAAGGTCAACCTGTAAAAGTAAAAATAAATTTATGATTAAGTATAAATGAATATTGAATATAATATAGAATAAGACAGGTTTCATTTAAGCAATACTTCATAAAGAATGCATTATATAACTAAAATTATAACTCAGACTCTTGATACCTGGACTTTGCTCACTACAATCTCTATTTTAATATTAGTGACGAAGTTCTGTTTATATCTTATTACTTCACTTTTCTTTCTTCTTCATTACCAAAATGATTCAACTCTTCGCAATCATAATTCAACTCTTCTCTTAAAAGTTTATTTTTAATTTCTAACATTCTATTTGCATCATGCATAGGTAAATGATATTTGTCTAAAGAAGTTGATGCATTGTTAAAAAGCAATTCTAGCTCAAACAGGACACAATTTTTTAATTCATCTTGTGGTATAATCATATCAGGAATTGAAATTTTTTTTCGCAACTTGTATAAAATGTCATCATACATGTTTTGCAAATGATTATAAAAAAGAATGTCATCATACATGTTTTGCAAATGATTATAAAACAGAATTTGAGGATTTGCTACATCACATAACAAAATTGTTGTAACAAATAATTGTCTCAATTGAGCAGATGATGCTATATTAATAGCATTTGATAAAGCTTTAGCCCATTCTTTATCATCACCTAACAATCCTAATGATTGACATGCAGATTGATATGAAACATGTACAATACCATTAATAGTTTTGATATCATCAAAGTTTAAAGCACATTTTTTCAAATTTTATCATCAAAGTTTAAAGCACATTTTTTTTCAAATTTAAAAACATTCTTAAATAATATAACTCGCACATTTTTTCAAATTTAAAAACATTCTTAAATAATATAACCCACCAGATGCAGGATGTATATATGCTATCCTACCTATTGAACCTTTTTTGTTTCCTTGGTATCCAAATTTTTTTTCGTGTATCATATAAAAATTTCTATGGAAACTGTGCATAAGTTAGTGCACGCGCTTTGTTATAAATTTTGTTAGTTTCAAATTAATTTGTTAACATTGTATGGTCAGAAGCATTTTGATTGATAATTGATTGCAATGATTGGTCACCACTAAAAACAATATTTTGCTCTAATGGTAAATGTACTTGTAATCGCTCTATAGAAGGTTCTCTATGATGTATGGAATACTGAAAGAATTTCCAAATGGCTTCATAAGGTGATATATATCTACAATTTAAATTAGCTAATATTTCATAATGTGGATCTTGTTATAAAACTAACCGTGCTCTTTCTGAACCTTTATTTATATATTTAAACAAATATTTTATAAGGAACCACAAAACTGTTATCAATTTTGACTCTGTTTTTTTATAACAAATTTTGTGTCATCATCACGACGCCTATAAACAGGAAAACCACTGGGTTAAAAAACAGTTTCATTTTTGTATGGTTTAGGAAAGTTTTTGGAACATTTATTTTCCTCCATACAAGAAGAGTTTTGATTGAGATAACCAAACAGACCATGAATCATAAATTGGTTAACGATTTCATAAAGTTGAGGATTAACAAATTTATCTGGCAACTCAGCTGAAATGATGGAATCTATATCTGATGCAGTATAGCACTTAAAATTTGATTGCAACCATATTAACATATGAGAATGAGGCAAACCTCTCTTTTGAAATTCAATTGTACAAACATCTATTTGTAAAAACAACCAGAACAAAACAAAGGAAAAAAAACAAAAAAAAAACAAAAAAGAAAAAAAAAAAGAAAAGAAAAGAAAAAAAAAGTTAGGTTGATGCACAAAAAATTGTGAACAAGATAAAGATAACAATGAAAATAAGTTTTTACAACTTACTTCAATTTGTCCAAAAGGCCTCCCAAACATGATGAAATCAAGCATTTCATAAGGTTTCATTTTAAATATTCTATAAATTATATCAAGCCTGCCCTCTTGTTTAAAACCTTTTTTTTTTTTTTTTCAAATTCTCTAATAATTTCTGGCCACTTTCCATTGCAGGTAAATGTTATGAACAAATCAGGATGACCATATTCTCTACAAATTGCCATAGCATCTTGATAATTATTAATCATATATCTAGGACTTCCTGTATATGAAGCAGACAATACAATATTTGTCCTAAATTATTCGCATCATTATCACCTCTTGACATTGCATCATAAATTCCTTTGTAAATTTCACTCCTCAATTTTTTTATTTTTTTTATTTTTTTTATTTATTCTTTTATGATTTTGTCTAATGTTATCCAATCTATCTTCTTCAAGTGTTGCATAAGAATTAACTAAATATTGTTGAAAAAGTTTACCTCCTTTTAACAACGTAGTTAAGCACATCTCTCTTTCTTGGATTTGATAAGCTATATAAGCTCTCATAGGTACTCTCTATCTTTTCATTTTGTAGCCTCTATAATTTTCATTCCATTTTAAATCTGGCCTATACCCATCTTCACCATATTGGAAAAAGAATAGGATATTGAAGAGCCATAAATTTTGAATTCAATTTTGTCACACGCTTCAATCTTTCATTTTTAGAATCTATGATGATATCTCTGTTAGAGTCTGACAAGCCTATATCACCAACTATTAAACCACCTATTTCATCACTTGTTGGTTGATCATATTGTTTGCCATCATTTGGTTGCCTGCCTAATAAAGTCATTGTCAAATTTATGGGACCATGAGTTTTAAATTTATCTCTGGCTGTTCGGAAAAATTTAACCAAATGATTACATTCATAAAAAATTTTGATCAACTCTTGAACAATTGTTGGATCAAGGTTTCGATTGTTTCCTTCAGAAATAAAAGCTCTTAGACGATTTTGTACTTCATTATATGTATCATAAACTTATTATTGAGCAAATTTCGAAGGCTCATTATCAGCAGGTAAAAGAAATCCCATTAAATAACAAACTTGACCACTAATTTTAAAAATGTAAGGAGTCGATCTGTTATTAACTAAGTGATCAACCAACTTTTGCTCCCATTGAAGTAAACAAAAACATAGAGTTGTAAGCTCTAATATTTTCTTGAAATGATAAACTCTTTTGATCTCCATTTGGATCAAGTAAGGAATTTAAAAAAGTCGGTGTTGGTTTCAGATGTGGAAATATAATTTTTCCTTGCTGGCAACAAAGAGTAAAAATGGGTTCATTTTTTTTCCAACTTTGTTTAAGAGACGCTTTTAACCAAAAATATGCAGCACAGTAGACATCTATAACTTTTATCACCTAAGTCCATGTAATCTTTGACAACCCCTACAAAAAACCACATCCAGCAAAGGGAAAAAAAAAACAAATAAAAAAACAGAAAAAAAAAGAAAAAAAAAAGTTAGCAACAATGCTTAATCAACTAAACACTACCGTTAAAATACGGAATAAAAAATAAGTGCACAAAATTAGAAACACACCATTTCTATTTTTTTTTTTAAAAGAGGCTTGGGCTTTATTCATGAGTGTACCAATTTCTCCATTTGAGGCTTTTTTAACACTATTTTCAATATTATTCGACAAACTAACAATATTTTTACCTTTTTGATTACGTGTATATTTGTTTTCTACACACAGTGGAATCCACCATTTCACCATCGTTAACAAATTTAATACAATTGTCAATAGAAACTGTGCTTGAGGAACACTGATGTTCAGTGAATGAATTTTGAGAAATAAACATGTTAACTATGGGTAAAACAATGTCTTCAAAATTTTGCACACCATGTGTTCTATACATTTTTTTCGATCAGTAATCAGATTCGAGAACTATATTAGATTGTCTGTTATCAATTGCTTTTGTTTTGTGCCATCACTTGTTTGATCATTTATAGATTTTTTAAACATTGTGAAAAGCTGTGATAAGCAGAAACACAACATTAAATTAAAAGTTGTATTCCAATTTAACAAAATTTAGACAATAAAACCAAATTAACTTTAATCATATTAAATGAAACAAAACCATAGAATTAAAGTTTCAACCAACAAAACAATAATTGTTTTTTATTTTATACATGTGTTTGGGCCCAAAATAATAGTTTGGGCCGAGTAGAATCATTCTCGGCTCGGAAGGCCTTGCGACAAGAATACCATGGATCGTTCAGTACGTGGGTCTCCAAACCTAGGTCGGCTAGGTCATAACCCAAGAAGTCGAGTCCTAGTGCAATGAGGAGTCTCGGCAGGACCCGGAAACGAATTCGGCTCGGTTAAGGACTAGGTTCACAGTCCTAGTGAAAGTAGGACTGGTCGAGTTGGTGCTGATTAGGAGAAGAAGACCTAGTCCGAGTAGGTTTTTAACTCGACCTTGGGGGGGAGCCGTTGCTATAAATAGAAGAGGCTGCGCATCATTCAAGCCCCTGCAAATCAATACAAAACTGCCCT